ACCCGGCAACCAAGTGCACACAGCAGTGTCCTACAAACATCGCGGATTGAGTGACCATAAAGAGAAAGAGAATATTGAAGAGAAATGTTGGGCAAGTTTCCTTACTCCAAACACCTCTGTTTACTCGGCAGTAAGTAGGAACCTGGTTGTTAGTCGATTGGTAGATCGCAATTGGCTGCCGCGTTTCGCCCTCAAAATATACAGTCAATTCATTTTACAGCATATTCTGTGAAGTGCTTTGAGACGTCTCGAAGAAGCAATAAGGCGCTATATCAAATGCAAGGATTACTATTATTATTAGGACTTTGAACTAGGCTAATGGCTTAGTCTCGGCTAATGCTCTAATACGGTGCTGAGGGTGTGTTGCATTGTTGGAGGTGCTGCCAACCTTCAGATGAGATCTTAAACTGAGGTCCCATCTGCTTGGTCAGGTGAGCGTTAAAGATCCCATGGCAGTATTCAAAGAGAAAAGAGAGTTTCTCCTGGTGTCATGACCAACAATCCTTAAGTTAGATTGGTATTCACTTCAAGGTCATTTGTGAGACATGGTTGTGACTATATTGGCTTTCGGATTTGTCAGCAAAATATGCAGTCGCTGCAATTTATAGTCGAAATGCTTTGTAACATTGAGACATCCTCTGGGAAAGTCACAAGAATGCAATATCAAATGCAAGAGTTATATTTGGTATCACCATGAGGGAATCTTCACTGTAACCTCTGCACGACTACGAGGATCGTTCTACAATGTTAATACGTAACGTTTGAACTGTGGGCCCAATCTCTCCTGAACTCAGTTGAAGCTGCCTAATGCAGGGACAGCACAGAGATTTCCATCCTCCCTTTGGCAGAGTTCAGACCTGTATCCCAGAGGTGAAAGGGTAGCGTGTTAGTCTGCTGCACTGACCAATTGCCCCAGAAAAATCCCTAACCAAATAAAAAGAGCGAACCTCTTTAAAAGATGAAACAGTAGAAAGACCAATTTGAGCAGCCTGTTTCTGCTTTCTTTTGTTGCGGTGACCTTCGGTGACGAGCCCGGGATGAGTTGCTGAAGCAGCGTGGAGGGTGGTTATCGCCAATTGATACAATCATTAACCCAAGCGTATTTTGAAACTAAAAATCAACACAGAAAAATTACTAAAACGCACGTTAAAAAGAGCCGGATAACATGCTTCCCCGCGAACGTACGGGACGCTGCTGTGTGCAATTGGCTGCCGCGTTTCACCCCCAAAATGCAGTCACTCCACTTTACGGTGCATCCTGTGACGAGCTTTGAGACGTCTCAACGACATGACAAAGTGCTCTATCAAATGCAAGCTATTATTATTATTCCCCGAAGGTTCAGTGGGTAACTCCAAACCCTGGTGCGCTACTAACACCGTATAGATTAGTACTAGTCACTTGCCAATCCCTGTGATCTTCATATCACAGTCAGTTATTATTATTATTATAGAGTGATATGAATTCTACAATTGGCCTCAAACACATGTATCAGGCTGGATATTCAATGAATTTGGAGGAAAATACGTGTGGATGTCAGGTGGGGAAGACAGTAAGTTAACAAGAAATCGTTACAGTTGATATATCGCCGTTCACATCAGGAGGACACCTCAAAGCAATTCACAGTGTAAAGTGTAGTGACTATGTTTTGCAGACAAACATCGTAGGCAAGGAAGTCAATAAGTAATTTTATTTGGGGGATTGATGGCCAGGTTACGGGGAGAGAGAAGCTCTCCTCTCAAACAGTGCCATGGGAATTGTAATGTCCACCTGGACAGGTAGACGGAACCTGTTTGTCTCATCTGATGGACGGCCACTGTGACAATGCAGCCCCCAAAACTCCCTCCCCACCCCCCAGCACTTTTTTGTGACGAGGGCTCCCTCTGCCTCCTCTTCCTCGTTGACCTCTCTGCTGCCTTCGACACCGCTGACCACCCTATACTAATCCACCGCCTCTCCAGTTGAACGTCAACAAGACCACAGGCGCTGACAGCATCACTATCCACGGATACACGCTCCACCCAACTAAGCCAGTCCGGAACTTTGGCGTCTTGTTCTATCCTTTCTACCCCACACCCGTGCCATGACACGCTCTGCCTTCCCCCACCTGCACAACATCGCCAGGCTCTGCCACCACTATCTTACACCGTAAGCCGCCAAAACCCTCATAGATCGAGGTTTAGCTATGCAAACTCCTTGCTTGTCGGCCTCCCCAACTCCTCCCTCCATAGGCTGCAGGTCATCCAGAAGTCTGCAGCCCGTGTCTTCTCCCGCACCAGACTGTGACCCTATCACCCCCACACTCGCCCAACTCACCTTCAAAGCCCTCCATGGTCTTGGCCCCTACAACCTCTGGGACCTCCTAACCCCCTACCATCCTGCTGGCTCCCTCCGCTCAGTGGGCTCCGGGCTGCTTCTCATCCCCACCTCACCTGCCCCACCATTGGCAGGTGGGCCTTCTGCCACTCTGCCCCCACCCTCTGGAACTTCACCCTGCAGTCCCTCCGCCTCACCCGCTTCATGCAAGACCCTCCTCTTCGACTGTGCTTTGATCATCCTGCTTCCCCCCACCCCTCCCCGACCTCCAGCTCGAGTCCGAAACACTAACTGGCCAGCGCCTTGGGACAACCTCCTGACGTGAAAGGCGCTTTACACATGTAATTTTGTTGTTGTGTTGAGCGTCTGTCTGGACCAGTGCAGTGCAACAGGTGGCATGTGGGTGGGCAGCAGCGCTTCAGATGATTTTATGCTTCCCATAACCATTTCCACCTTCCACTCCCCCTTCCCTCCCTGGTGAACGCGCTCCCAGGGCAGGAGCTGGCGTTTGGGAGGAGGCAGCGCACAGAGCTGGAGTCTGTCAGGAAGGCAAGCGCGAATCTTACCAACCACGTCCTTAGCAACCAACCACCTTCTCCTGCTGCAGTAGATAGTGGCCCACACTTGGGAGTGGGGTAAAAGAAAGGGGGGTGGGGGAGAGACAGAGGGGGTAAGAGGGGGAGAGAAGAGTATGTATGTGAGGTGAAAGAGACTATGAGAGAGTGAGTGAGTGAGAGGGGGAGTTGATCTACGCTGGATGTGGCCCGAAGACCTTTCTCAAATAGGGAATCCAGCCCGCGGCAGCCCACGGTTGGACCACCCTGGCCTAGACTACATGGGCTCAAAGTCCCGAAATGAGGCCTGAACCCACAACCTTCTGACTCAGGCGAGAGTGCTACTAATCGAGTAAGTTTTAGTGCCTTTGTATTGAGGTTGCCTAATCCCTATTGCCACTCGCTGTCCTGTAGCTTGTGCAAGGTACTGAAGAGCGTCATCACCCAATCTCCTGCATGTCACTGCCCTCAGGAACACAGGGGAAAAAAACTGTATTGATTGATTTCCATGGCAGGATTCTCTCTCTACCCAACTCCATTAGTTTAAAAAAAATGTTTCCATGAAGCCCTGTTGACACCGGCAGCTCTACCACAGAACCATCCACAAATGTGGCTTCAGGTCTTTGCTTGATCTCAACTGGGGCAGAACTGGTCTGGACACCCTCGCCTCTCCGTGTCTATCTGATATCCTCGGCTCACCCCCTTCACTCAGCGAACACGATCCCTGGGCATCTCCTGCCCTTTACTGCATCCTCATTGTTGACCAAGCTTCCAGTCTTGGCCAATGATCTCTGGAACTACCTCCTCCAACCTCTGTCTTACATTGCCACCTTTCAGCACACTGACATTACCCCACCTGAAGGGCGCTCTATTTATGCAACTGTTACCACAATCAGCCTCTGCAATCCTGGGCAAGGGTAGAAAAAAAGTGCAGCCTTCTTGCAGACCAGTTGGACCAAATGCCCTGTCCGTGGCAAGTCTATGCATTTCTATCCAACCCATTGAATGAACAGGAACTTTAGTTGCAGGCAGAAAGGATGTCAGAGAAGGGAGCTTCTCCCAGTGTTCTGGCGTTTTCTGGGACTCTACCCCGCGTGAGGAGTGCCATATAAATGCAAGTTGTTGAGTTGTTGAAAGGCACTGTATCAAATGTAAGGATATGTTAGTAGTGACATTTACCAGGGTTGTCTTGGTGAATAAACTCACTGAGGCAACAGAGGAATGATAATGTTGTTTAAAAAAAAAGACAAGAAAATTCTATTGAATAGCAAATGACCAGGATGCACATTTAACACATCCCCCCCACCACCCACCCCACACCATACACAAATGCCTTTAGCCGTTTCACCTACAAGTTAGTTGCACGTTGTGAGATCTGGTAAGCCTCGTAAGGTGCAGATTTTTGACTGCATTAAGGCAGAGCAAAACATCCTTCTCAATTTGTCTCAAGTCTCCTCGTTACAGATCATCAGTATGCACGGCAGAGGAAACCGACGCTGTAAATGCTCGCCTGGAAATGGGATGGGGGAGGGGTGCAGATTACAAACTGCAGGGTAATGTTTGCTCCCAACACATGCTGTCGAATGCATATTTCAGATGTTTTAGAACCAGCAACTCACATCCAACATCACAGAAACACTGACATTGTTCTCCTGGAGCTCAGACTCCCACCTCCTAGGTCCTTGCAGTGTTTCTCATTCTTGCAAGAAAGATTTTTTCTCTCTCTCTCCCCCCACGAGCTCAGCTGCACGCCCCAGGGAATGAAATGCAAATTATTGGTTGTATTTTTGTACAGCGATTCTGAACTAACAAGCCACGGGGACAATGTCCTGATGACTTTTTGGGTGCATTTAAGAAGCGTTACGCATGGCCTTAAAACACACGGTTCAGACCATTACTTTAAAAATGCCGCCTTCCCCCATGCCAGGATTAACCCATTGATAGTTAAGATTTCAGTCTGGTAATCGTATTCCGCGCCCAAACACTTTATAAATATAAATAATGCCGCAGAGGTCAAGTGCACATTCCTACCCAACCCACCCCCAATAAAGAAAATGATAACCGGCTCTAGTTTTGAAATAGTTGAACGTTGCATTGGTCACCTTTGCCATCCTGAAGACCAGCAAACCAGGCTCGAGTCCTGCAGCTTTAAGAATTTATTGCATATCATCACTGCTCAATTGCCGCTTTACAATTGGACGTCTTAATAAAGTACTACATAATCAAATACATGGTCCACAAAACAAGTACACGTGCCTTGATATTTCAAAGTTGAGCATTTTGACACTTTGATGTAATGTGAGTGTATGGATTCCCCATTAAAAAGAGGTATCCATGTACTTTATGTACCAAAACACAGGAACCTTAATGAAGCACTGGAAGTCTAGAACATCCTGAAAACAAAAAAGACTACTTCTGTACATAGAATTTGCTTAAAATAAAACTAAAAAAAAAAATCACAACGGCCAAGGAATTATCCTTTAATTCAAACATCCACTATAGGTTTGAAAGGGTTCTCATTCGTTTAAACCTGGAGCCTCAGTACCGACCTACAGAAAGAAAGAAAAACAGTGCACAGTGTTTGAGGCGGTTTGGTTATTTTAAAAGTCATTGTAACGCCTGTGGGACGGGAAGTGGCTGATTTCCATACTTACGTGGTGTGTACGAACGAGATCTAGACCGAGATCTGTATCTGCTGTAATAGGGGGAAGGTGAGCGTCGTCTGAAAGAGACGGATTTACAACATCCAATAAAAAATTACAATATCCAAACTACAAATTTGTTCAGTCGAAGCATTTTTTTTCCCTTTTACAAACACCCAGCAAACCAAAAGACATGAGCCACCCACACTCTAGATTTATACTGCAGCAGAGCAATGTTGCAATCGAGTGCACTCCACTGCACAACACAACATCTACATATATGGCCCCTGAACAAAACGTATGTGTCACTTTTCGCTGATAATGCCGCAAAACAAAAAATTTATGGTTTAACTGCAGGAGAATGATTACCTCTTCACTCGAGCAAAAAAAATACATTTCTAATGTAAGTACCAATGTAAAAGCCCCCGACACGTTGCCAATTTATTCAATAGCTTTTAACTATCTAATTAAATCACGTTACTGCCTGTAGTATTTTGCCAATACAATTGAGAAAGCCCCCTTTTTTTTATTGAATTCATAAAGGCCTCCCACCATTAAAAAAAAAGTTGCGAGATTTGAAACATTCAAACAATATATTGTCAGTTGGGCATACATCAAAGAATTGTGAATTAACACAGTATAACCTTCAGGGCATTATACAGTATCCCCTCAGTAAGCATAATCAGCTCCTTAAAAAATATGCATTACACAGCGTATTTCCTATGAAGCAAATACCCCATGCAGCCCCACGCTCCACAATATGCCGTGAAACTATAAAACTGTTCAGATTACGCGTGTTTAAATATCATTGCTCTTAATGTTAAATGGTCACTTTATTGATATGCCAACAGATTTACTCAAGTCAATTTTGTTATACAACTCCAGGATGAGAACCATTTCACAGTATTTTTAAGCAAATTCTCACCGGTATCGCCCGCTGTAGTCCCGCTCATCATATCTGTCGCTTCTATCACTGTTGGTAGGAGGCAAAAATAACATTTCTGTTGAATGTCAAAATAACTGAGGAAGCGCCTTTTCCAATTCCTGAACACAAGGCTTTTGGATAAGAAACTGATTGCCTAACTCACCTTCAAGGCTCTCCATGGCCTTGCCCCCTCCTACCTCTCTGACCTGTTAACCCCTTATCAACCTGTCTGCTCCCTCCGCTAAGCAGGCTCCGGCCTGCTCCATCTCTCCCGCCTCGCCCGTCCCACCATCGGCAGTTAGACCTGCATCCTCTCTGCCCCCACCCTCTGGAACTCCATCCCACATTCCCTTTGCCTCGCTCCCTCCCTCGCCTCCTTCAAGACCCTCCACTTCGGCCACCCGCCTACACTCTCCCCTCGCTAATCCTTGACTGTTCAGTGCCTCGGGACATTCTCCCGACGTGAAATGCGCTTCCCAAATGTAATTTTGTATTGTATTGTAAATTAGTTTGCAAATGTTTAATAATAATAATCCTTGCATTTGATATAGCCTTATCTCAAGCACCTTATCTTAAGGCGCTCGACAGAACATACTGTAAAGTGAATTGACTATATTTTATGGGCGAAACGTGGCAGCCAATAACCACAGCAGTGTCCCACAAACAATCACGGGTTAAGTAAGAAAGTATTATTTAAAAAATATTTTTTTTTGAAGAGATTATTACCGCCAGAAAACTGGTCCGCCAATCGACTAACAACTGAGCTCCTAGTTACTGCTAGGTAAACAGAGGAGCGTGCAGTAAGGAAACTTGCCCAATGTTTCGACTGCCCAGAAATCGAACCCAGGTCCTTTCGCTTGCGAGGAGAGTAATCAAACCAATAAGCTACAGGACTCCATAACCTTTGTATTTAATACTTGTTTTGTGGACCATGTATTTGATTATGTGTAATAAACACAAAGGTCTTTATAGTCATTTAAAAATATGCATTTGATTAATCCAGGGCGGGGGAAGTAAAGCAAGCTCACGTTGTAGGTCTGCCCATATAGATTCCTGGAGTTGGAGTGTGGGCTCTTTTTGTAATGGAGTAATCTACCCGAATGCGCCGGCCACCAAGTTCCATCCCATTAACACGTTCCTTTGCCTGGGCGGAAGGAAATAAAACATTATTTTGGTAGTCCTGCAAAGTCAACACAGCAAAATACTGAAATTGTGCGCAATTTTCCCAATCATTAATTGTGCAAAAAAATACAAGTACGAACATTATTTAAACACATGCAAAATTACAAAGTCCAATGGATCAATCACTCTTCCGGTATAAACTTGCAAATTGCTGAATTACACCAGTGAGAGACCACACAAATGGGATAAGTTACAATTAAAGACAGTTATTTATAGTGAAAACAGAAACGGCTGGGAACATTCAGTTAGTCAGGCAGCATCTTTAGAGAGGAACGTGAGTTAAGGTTTCAGCTCAATTCTGACCATTCATCAGATATTTTCTTATCAGGTTTCATCTGTAATAAATCAATTCCATTTTATTCCAGATGCTTACAATATAAGTTGTCAAAAATTTGTAGGTTTAATTTCAGATGAGCAAGATTGCATTTTAAATTAAAAACTATACAAGCTGCATGCTCGATTGAGTTTCTCCAAAATTGAAAAGTTTTACTGAGGAATCTCTATCCACCACAAAGCGCTTCTGTTTGAGACATTTCGAAGATGTGATAAGGCGCTATACAAATTGCAAGGATTATTATTATTATACCTTTCACCATGCCAGAGACTTATTTAAGGCTCAACCAATACAATGGGGAGTTATCTGAAATACCAAAGCAATTTTGAAGGACTGGTGAGGAACTTTGTGAGTTGGGAGGTTGCAGGGGGGGAAGTAACACAAAAATGAACTCCTCTGAATAGCACATCATAACAATGCACGGTTTTATAAAGTATATGAAACATTAAGTGAAACTCTGTATAATAATCCTTGCATTTGATATAGCGATTTATTACGACTTAGATGTCTCAATGCGCTTCACAGATATACTGTAAAGTGAATTAACTATATTTTGTGGACGAAACGTGGCAGCCAATTGCGCACAGCAGCATCCCACAAACAGTCGTGGATTGAGTGACCAAATGATTCTGTACACTATTATTATACTGTACACTAGCGTAACCCCTAAAAACAAACACTAGAAATGTGTTTTTCCCAACAAGATATTGGGATAAGCATGAAAGGTTCCATGTGCTGTACACAGGTTAACCTCTGAGCACCACAGAACTAGGCACGAGAGTGGCCAATTTTAAGACGCCAAGAAGTGGGAGACACCTATTGGTGGAGAAGGGAAGTGAAGCAACAAGGACATGAAAATCAGTTATTTACACACATCGGTTTACATAAGAACATAAGAATCAGCTCGCGGAGAGAAGACCAAGGTCCATCTAGTGCACCTTACACCATCCTGGCAGTCTCTTGACAGGTCTTGTTCCAAGCTATATACTGTATCCTGAGATATTATTTTCTAGCAGCAATCGATCTTAATTTGTTCTTGAAACAAACAACATTTTCTGATTCCAGTCTCTTTTTTATAATACTTGCATTTGATATGGCACCGTATCACATCGTCGAGAAGTCTCAATGCACTGCACAAGATATGCTGTAAAGTGTAAACCTTACTTCAAGATTGTGATGAAAATGTTGGTTTTAGGATTTTCACATTTACCAAATGACTGTATAATTGGTTTCTATTATCGTATGCAGAATAAAAAAAGCAGCAAGAAGTCTGATAGTCTGACAGTGTGAAATCACTGGTACAACCAACCTTTTCAGTTCATTCTGAAGAGACTGAATTCAGCAATAAAAGAAAGCTTCAGCTTGTTACCCAACTGCTGGTTTTGTAAACTTACTTCTTTCGAGTCTTCAACATTCTCAAAGTAGACAAAACCGAAACCTCTTGATCGTCCCGTTCGCTGATCGTACACAACATTGATTGATGCAAGTGGTCCATAATGCGAGAACACATCACGGAGATCCCGTTCTGTAGTGTACAAGCTCAAACCAAACACTCCCAGGCAACTATTAGGGTCTGGGTTTGCCTAGGGGAGAACCCAAAAACCGCAGTTCAATTACAGAGCTCAAATCTATTTTCCAGTTTCGATACTGAACATGCCTGATTTCTGCCTCATCAGTATAGGAAATGTGTAAAGAATTTTTTAGCAAACTGTTAATTAGGAGATATTCAGGCCTCTGCTCTCCCTGGAGTTGTTCTATCCATTTGTCATGGTTCACTGTAAATTTAACAAAACAGTATCCAGGCTGGTTCTGGATGGCAATCGAGGTGTCTCAGACAAACTGTTTAGTAATGGATGAGTGCACAGCAGTAATAAGATTAAAACAATAATGCTTCCTGCCAGATAGGATATTACTGTACATTGACAGTATTGCTGACAGTATTGTTTGGGTAACAAGCAAACACGAATGTCATTTTAACTGCAGGAAGTAAATCATTTTCAATTAATACAAGCAATCATGAATACATCGAAGAATGGGATAATGATCTAGACCAGTGGTGCCACACATCAGGCATCAGATTTATGCCATAAATCAAGAAATATTCAATCAAGAAACATTTATTTTATTGGCCAATAATGTTCCATCCACAAATTAAATATCCATTCAATAGGAATCGATCATAAAAATTCTCTTGGAAACCCTGGCACTTACTAACCCGGTTTCCGACATGTCTGCGTCGGTTTGACATAGGAGAACGGCTGTAGCTTCTCCTACGCCTGTAGTCGGGTGAATACGATCGGCTCCTGGATCTTCTTCTGTACGACCGAGAACGTGATCTGGATCGTGAATAGTGCCTGTGAGATCGGTGTCGACAGTACGACCTGTTTAAATGGACACTTCTGTTAGACCACATCTGCACTCAATTCTATAATAGGCTTCCAAATGGAAATTCTAAATCTCTGCTCCCCTCCTCTGCTGGAAGGTAAACACACCTGGATGTAGAGTGAGGATTCAGACTGCCTTGTCTGTGATTCCATTCTCCTCCCCCCATTACTGCCGTTAAATGTTTGTCAGCCTGGCTCAGTTCATAGCACTCGCGTCTGAGTCATTAGATTGTGGGGTTCAGGCCACGATGCGACTTTAAACTGATACTCCAATGCAGTATTGGGGGAAAGCCTTGTATTGTTAGAGCTGCTCTCCTTCGGATGAGATGCTAAACCAAGAATCCGTCTGCCTCTTCATGTTAAAGACCCAAAAGGACTATTTGAAAAGAGAAGGGAGCTTCTCACACTTCTCTGGCCAACAATCCCCCGGATACAATTAACTTCATGGTTGATTATGTGACAGCGCAGATTGCTTCATCTACAAATACACTCACGACACTTTACAGTAAATCCTGTGAAACCCTTCAAGACATTTCACCGCCGTGACACGGCGCTCTATTAAAAGTAAAGATTATTATTAATATCCGGCCAAGGTTGACGCACACATCAGGCATTGGGAGGCTTATATCTCTTATAATAATAAATTGGTCACTGAATCCACGACTGTTTGTGGGACACTGCTGTGCGCAACTGGCTGCCGCATTTCACCCACAAAACATACATTAAATTCACTTAGTATGTTCTGTGAAGCGCTTTGAGACGTCTTGAAGATGTGGTAAGGTGCGAAATCAAATGCAAAGATTATTATTGCTACTAGGCAAGTAATTGGAGGGAAAGAGGCACTCTGTAGTAAACCTACCTTGCCCTGGATCTTGATCTAGACCGCGAGTGTGGAATCCGTGACCCCGACAGGTCCGATGCCCTTGAAGGAGATCGAGAAGCAGACTGGTGTTCGGACTTTCTAAGTTCATCGGGGCTCCCGCTCCGTGACTTTGATGCTGACCTCCCGACCTAATAGGTCAGGACAATTTAGTTACAAGTAGTTACAAAGCCAAAAAAAAAAAGGAGTAAAAATTCCAACTAAACCCTAATCGGACAACAGTCTTATTCTCAACTACAGTACTTAATTTCTCCTCAACCACTTCCCTAATAAATAAAACCCCAATTAACCTAATTAGAATATTAAGACTGCCCTAATATCATATTTGTTCCGAGTATTTCTAGAAATCAAGTCTGATTATAAACTTTAGCATGCAATTTATACTAGAACTGTAGCATACAGACACAAATATAGACTATATACGTTACTTGGCCTAGGTATCTTCCCTCCAGACACCTTCTTTTAAATTTACTTCACTCTTGTTTCTACTTTCTTTTCTTCATTCTTCATTTTTCAGTTTTCCCACACTTCCGCAATCTTCACTTTCCAAACCACTTAAAGCCTTACACCATGCATGCTCTTCTATCTGACCAATCTTCGCTCTCATTTCAGCTTCAAATTTATTTGACTGATTTGCAATACTTGTGTGTATAGTCATTATGTTGATTATCTTCCACATTCTTGACAATTATTCCACTTTCTTCATGTATATTAACCTTAATGGAAAAAGAATATTCAGCATGATGAGGTAATTTGGGTTCAGATTCAAGCCTTTTGTAAATCTTAATTTCCCATTAAACTCTCCTCCCCTATTCTGGATCTGTTCCAAGTTTCTTTTTTAGTGAAATGAGAAATAACCAAATGGGAACATGTTCCCCATTTAAATTGGGGGGGTAGGGGTTGGGGGGGGGGGGGGTGGGACAGTGAATTAGTTACCTCCTTACTTAAGAAAAACTAAAATGACACCACGCTTGAAACCAAAAGTTCAATAAACTCAATCTGCTTACACTCAGAATTGATAGCATTTGTTCCCACAAACATAACCTGATAAAACAAATTCTGTGTGTGGGGGGGGGGGTGGGGTAGGACAGGCTCAAATCCTGCTCAGACTGATGGGAGAAAGTACAGAATCTGCCTTCTGTGTGAGTATGGGCACACGCATAGACACAAAAATACTCATAACCTCTAAGACCTCTATCAGCCATCACAATCAATTGCGCCAAATCACAAGGGCAGATTTGTCAACTATTACCATAGCAGGTGCTCTTCTGAGGGTTCAGTGTTGAGGAAGCTTTGCTCTGCATTTGGCCTGGAACTACTTAATGCCAACACAGAGCACCCTGCCTGCCTTGACCACAAAACAGCAGGCAAGTAAAAATACAGTGCAGTAATTCCTATAACATCAATCCTATTACAAACCACAGCCGAGGAAGAGGAGGAGTTGGGATACTACACTGTACTATGTGGCATCGAAGCTCCTAAAGCCCTCATCTTTCTGGACTTTTTAAATTACTTTAAAACCAACCTAAAGTAACTTCTATTACGTACAAACTTTGGTGTTTGCAACTTAATTTCTAGAGAGACAAAAATACATCCAGGAACAACAACAGATTGCATTTATATAGCACCTTTCACGTTGGGAGGACAGTCAAGGGTTTGCACCCGAGCTGGGGGATGGGATCAAAAGGGATGGAGAGCAAGGGAGTGAAGGGAGAGGTCACCAGTTCTATAACAGCAGTTCTGTTTCAGTGAGCTAAAAATAGGGAGACTGGTTTGCCTCAGAAATCCTAAAGGCAACGTGAGCCTCTGAAAGTTGAGTAATGATTCTATTTAAAAAGGCGTCTTGGGAACACAAATGTTCGATCCTTTTTACTGTGTTTCTCAACAGCACAGTACGCACTGAAAATCAAACCTATTTTAACGATTAAAGGATGAAACGTAAGCACAACTTTCATGTGCACAATGATCTTATTAGCAACATTTTATTGGTTACAAAACTGAGGGGGGCGGTGAGTTTTGCACCTGATGTGACATCTGGAATTTGAATTTCTGTGGAGTCCTGTATCTTAGTGGTTAGAGCACTCGCCTCGCAAGCGAGAGGATCTGGGTTTGATTCTCGGGCAGGGCGAAATGTTGGGTAAGTTTCCTTACTCCACATACCTCTGTTTACCTAACAGTAAGTAGGAACCCAGTTGTCAGTCGATTGGCGGATCGCTTTTCCAGGGGTAATAATCCCTTCAAAAATTAATAAAGAATATTAATAATTCAGTCGCTCAATTTTCAGGACTCTTTGTGGGGCACTGCCATGCGTAATTGGCTGCCGCCAAAATATACAGTCAATTTACTTTACAGTATATTCCGTGAAGCACTTTGCGACATCTCGAAGACGTGATAAGGCGCTACATCAAATGCAGGGATTATTATTATTATTCAACCCAAATCTTCTCCCTTTATAGTTAATGGCTCCACAGTGACAAAGGGGACTATGACTTTTTGAATTAAAAGTTTAAGACTTAGCAGCAGTGCTGGATTTTTTAAATTGTCTCAATAAGGTAACCTAAATTTTACTGCATAGTTAATTTCCAGTATTTAATCTACACCCCAAACTAAACAACTTGTATTTATCACATTTCCTTTGTTTAATTGAAATTTGGGTATTTAACATTCATTTGATGTTTAAGATCTAAAAGAACTCTCTGTAGTGAACAATTACTCAAAAGGTAGAGCATGATATTGAATCTAACAAACGTTGATATTAATCTGACTTTCTTGCGTTTCTTAATTGTTTACTGCTAAATCATCCACAATACTGTGAGGCATGCAGAATTCACAAGGTTGAATGAACCGTGTAAGTTGATCCAGTACAACTGGCCCACTCAGCAAACCAACCCAATAAACCAACACATTTTGAAACAATGTCAATTTTACTGGGATTGACCGGCTGCCAGCTGAGCAATCGGTTACAGCGGGGTGGTCCAGCCATTCTGCTGCCATGGGCCGCATTTCCTATTTGAGAAAGGGCCATATCCAGTCCATTTCCAACCGCCTCCCTCCCTCGTGATGTCCTCCCAGGGCAGCGGCAGGAAGGCCGCAGTGCACCGAGCCTTTACTGCAGTCTGTCAGGAAGGCAACTGCGTCTCTTGACAACTGTGTCCTTAGCAACCAACCTCCAGCTCCTGCAGACAGTTACCTGCGCTTGGGAAGGGAGGGAGGGTTAGAGAGAGAAAGGGGGGGAGAGAGAAAAGGAGAGACGGGGGCAGAGAGAGGACAAAAAAGGGGAGAGAAGGGGAGAGGGGGGCAGAGAGGGGGACTCCCTCCCACTCTCTCAGGCACTCTCTCCTCTCAACACTCACTTAATTACTCTCACTCCACTTCTCACTCTCTATTCCCCCCTCTCAATCACTCCTCACCCCTCCTGTCCTCCTCTCTCCCACATACACTCTCTCTATCCCCTCTCAAACTCTCCCTCAATCATCCACCTCTGTTCCTTTCTCTCCCCTCTCCCTCACATTCATTCACTCCCTCCCACCTCACTCTCTCTCAATCACTCGCTCAGTCTCTCTCTCTCTCTCATTCCCCCTTTCTTACCTCTCACACACATTCACTCCCTCCTTTCTCTCCTCCCTCTCTCTCCCCTCCTCTCGCGCTTGCCTTCCTGACAGACTGTGGTAAAGGCTCTGCACGCCGAGTCCTCCCAACCGCTGGGCTCCTGCCGCTGCCCTGCCCCGTTCACCAGGGTGGGAGGGAGTGGAAGTTGGAAGGGTGGAAACGGTCGCAGGCTGCATAAAATCACCCGGCGGGCCTCTGCTCTAGTTGGACCACACTGAGTTACAGCACTAAAATTTCAGGGCTATTGCTCAAATCATATTTCTTAGACAAGTTTGATCAGTTCTGAGATCGACTTCTAACTGTCCAATAATGAACGATAAATCCCTCCATAGAAGGACAAGCTAATTAGGGATGTCGGCAATAATGCACATCCAAAATCACAAGGCATTGTTTTGGCAATCCACAAAATTATAGCATTGGTGAAGCAAAGTGCTCCAATGCTCAGTCTAACTTTTACTCACATTAAGGAACTCGACACAGTTAGACATTTGTATGTCTTTCTATTCTTTCTATATCACTCAAGATCACTGAGGAGAGACTATCAGCAATGCTAAACTGTTCCTCTCTTTCAGCTCCGCAAACATTTCACAACAGGCACAGTGACACTGATTACAACCATGTACAACCACATCAAATAAATACACTAACAGTGTGCTTCAACAAGGTTTATATAATAATGGGATAATATTAACATGATATACAAAATTATTCAAACAAAGCCCAGGCTTTTAGTTTACAAAACCTTTGATATTATACATTTGGTATTAATTTAAACCCATCTCTATATCACATGGAAATATCAGCATCATTAAGAAGAAATGCCTTGGGAAATGCCAGACGAAACATCGATTGAAACTCTGGTCTCCTAGTTCAGAGTCTGGAATCAACTGAGCCACTGTTGAATTAACTTTTTGGGGAAAAAAACTTTTGGATAGGAAATCAAATAAAATGTGGTTTTAGTTTTTACAAGGTATTTTGGAGGATAGAGGCTGATAAAATAGAAATCCATTGTACATTCAGAAACATTTACTGGAAGATCTAACTGTGCTTTCTTTCCACACAAAAATATAATCCTTGCATTTGATACAGCTCCTCTTCACGTTGGACAAACATCTCAAAAGTGCTTCAAAGGATTTACCATAATGTGCAGTCCAATTTCATTCACCTACAAAACATACATAGATGGATATTCCAAAAGCTGCAATGAGCTATATATCACGAGAAACTAACTGATTGATGTTCATGTCTTTTTTTCGGGAACAAATTTAGTTACTTCTTTAAATATCTACCAACCATTGAGTAGTTTAGCCAATGAGTACTGACCCACCATGCCAAATAAGGTGGTAGAGGCAGAATCCATTGTGAGTTTCAAGAGGGAAGTAGACAGGTCGATCGACGAAAGATATAACACTACTTGCAGTTATATAAGCACGCTTCACATGAGGTTGTGCCTTGGAACGCTTAAAATAGAGATAAGTGAGTCTTGAACCTCCTGAAAGTTGGTGCGGACCTGATTGGCTAA